AGAAGTGGGGAATGAAACATGAGAAGCTGGTGTCGTAGAAGCCAGGAAAACAAACTCTCTGGGTTATCTTTGCTTTGAAATTAGTACAGATAATTTTACAAAGCTATCTGAGTTGCTTGGAGCCTTGAGCCAGTAATTTCTATCTCACTATTCCTCATAGGAAGAAAAATGTCAGGGTTGTGGAGACAATCTGCCTCCCAATGTATAGCTGTAGTCTCTTGTGGAGTTAATGAGCACGTTAACAGCCCTGCTTCCTCCTATCACTGGAATAGTTCATGTCTTTGGGGCACTGACTCAGGAGAATTTTCTTCATAGTCAAAGAACAACACTTTCAAGACAGAAGTTCAAATCAGCTATGCCTTTGAGAGAATAAATTTATCTTTACATATATATTACACATATTAGAATATTAAGCTTTGGTTTACAACCAGACAGGTCACAGATGATGAATGTGATGGTTTGCTTGCTATTAAATGGGTTGCCTTTGAGAACATATTCTAAGTGAAATATTGTGAATGGCTATCACCTTGTCTATAGAAATAGTTTGACCTGCTGCAAATGTTACCTAATTCAATACCCCATTATCACTTCCTTGTCTTTTGGTAAGGCTGTCAAAAATAAGAACATTTAATGATCAAATAATATATGAAAAAAATTCCTTAGTCATCCAAATAACCTCATTTCTCACATTAGCTGTGACTTATAATAAGACAGTTCCTTCAGTAATATAAAGTTTCTAGATTAGCCAAGGTGAGATATATCCAATTCTGTACCAACTTTAATAGACTTCAATCACAATACTTGAGAGTTTTTCAAATTATAGCTTGAAATGTCAGAGTTGGACACCTTCAGAGATCGTTTGCTTGTTTTCATTGATATGTTCATATTTGAAGGGATACATATACTTTTTAGTTGCTTGAGTAACAAGGAAGAATTTAAATAAAATTTTCTAGTCACCCACACATATCTTAAGAGGTCCATCAAAGTACATAAGTTGTACCTAAAAGCATGTACATTGGTGTATCCAGAATATTTCCACTCTGAAGTGGAGAAAAATTTCCCCATCCATGAAAATATACGTGCATAAGCTTCCTCACAAATTTACATACAATTTCAGGAGGGTCTCAGATCCTCTGAAAACTACATGCACCCTCACAACGTCAGAGTTTCCAAGCTAAGCACTCTGGGTTTAGACTATTTTCTCCTATGGGTGCACCATGTGTGCCTTCTCCTTATTGGCCATCAGAAATCAGAACTTTCAGTTTCCAAAAGTACGGATTTAAGGAATGCTGGTGGTGGTGGTGTTGTTTCTAGGAAAATGAGCATGCTTCCTTGAGAATTAAAGTAAATTTCCCACAAGGTATGGAGTTGGAAATTCTGGGCTCTGTCTCGGGTCCTGAAACCTAGGTCCAAGGTCACAAGGAGCTGTCCAAGGTCCCAAATGTCTTAGACCAGTGCTTCTCCAAGTATGATCTACAGATAACCTGCATTAAAATCAACTGAGTGTGTGCATTACACTGCAGATTCCTGATCCATCCAAGAACCACTGAATCAGAAACTTTGAGGGTAGGTCCCACAAATCTGCATTTTAAGGAGTGCCTCAGGAGATTCTTATGTCTGACAATAAGATAATGTCTACCAAATGTTGGTAGCACTTTGTTTACGGCTGGAAACCATTTAATCCCATTTAAATTCACTGATCATTATAAATGCACCTGCTACCTTTAATACCATCTATATTAACAATCATAATGAGTTGCTATATTCCTGTAGAAGACATTGACCAACTTTCTTCCAGATGTTTTCTGTCACAATTTAGCACCAACCAAACATAAAAATCCAAGCCCTATCAAATCTCAAGAAAAGCAAACTCTTTTGAAAGTCAACTTCCTTGATCTTTTCACAAATCTTTCCTCCTTATCCACTTTAATAATGAAAATAAGTACAATTATGGGTAACCAATATTTACTGATTATTCACTCCATGCCTTCCATCAAACCCATCATAACAATAGTAGTAAATGCAACAAAAAAATATTTAATGAGTGCTTACTATATGCCCAGAACTCTTCAAAGTTCCTTATGTGATTGCATCATTTAAACTTTATAATACTGTACCTATGAGACCAAGAAAGACAGGAAAATGTGTATTCTATATTGCTTAAGGTATTAGTGCCATTTATAGGCTTTTTCATATAACTATGATGCCAAAGTTAATTCCCTAGTGTTCTTTTTTAAGGTATGAAAATGGGGAAGAAGACAGTGCCCATTACTGATCGCCTGCTGTATTTCTGGCACTTTAACATGTTTTCTTCATTAAAATATCACCAACTGTTTATGAATAGATTTTATTACCCCATTTTAACAGGTTTATTGAAAGACTGACATATCATAAACTGCGCATATTTAAAATGTGCAATTTAATAAGTTTAGATATATGTATATACCTGGGAAGCCATATTGCAATCAAGGTAATGAACATATCTCTCAGCTCCAAAAGTTTTCCCGTCTCCCTTTGTAATCCTTCCTCCTGCCCCTCCACTTGCTCATCCCCAGGCAACCATTGACCTGCTTTCTGACACTACAGATTAGTCTGCATTTTCTAGAATTTTATATAATCTCTGTGTGTAATTCTTTTGTCTTGCATCTTATACCCAACATGATTATTTTAAGATTCATCTATGTTATTGCATTTATCAAAAGTTCACTCCTTTTTACTGCTGAGTGGTATTCCAATTGTCCTCATTTTATAGATAAGCAAACTGTGGAAATAAGCAACTAGTTCTGAGATTACATAGTAAAGGACCAGATTCAAATTTAAATCTGTCCAACACAAAAGCCCCATATTTTCCCACTAAAAAGTATGCCTCTCTTCATTTTTAACTGAGAAATAACTCTACATGTATCTTCAGAATGGAAGAATGTGGCCTCCAAAGTCACCAGGCTATAGTAACCACACCAAAAATTGTTGCTGGAGGATTAATTGGAGAGGGTGTCAGCTGTCCTACCCACCTACCTCCACAATATGTGCTTAGCAGTACCACCCTTAAACTTTGGGCTTCGATTACAAGGTCATTCACCCGAAGAAGAACCCAGGAATCCTGGGGCTGCCAATATACATGAGACCACTGTATGCAGGCCCTAAGCTCTAGCTAGAGTCCTCTCTTATAGGCCAGAAGGGAAGGAAGTATGTGGGGCAAATGATGGAAGGTGGTCAAATGTATGGTAGAGTAGGAAGGCATCCAAAGAACTATGAAGGTCCTTATTGAACTGGGTCACTTGTGTGACTTGAAGGATAGACTTTTAACTAAGGACAGAAGAGGAGATAAGAACTACAAAATGGAAAAGCAAGGAAAGGTAGACTAACTCTTGCCAAGCTCCCAAACTGTTAATTTGGTGATCTTAGGCACTCATCACTCTTGAAATATAAAAATTTAACAGATTACATTTTTCCATGATTCTTGCAACATACTTTTGAGGAGGAATTATTCATAACACTATGAATAATAACTAGCAGTTATAGAGTGCTTATAATGCACTACACAAAAGAATCATATTCTATTTTCATTTTACTTCAAAGAAATCAGTTCTCAGAAAATATAAGTGACTGTCCAAGATCATACAGCCAGAGAGTGATTTAGTTATAGCCAGAATTCAAATCTCCAAGTCTTAGTCCAGTAATCTTCCCATGACTCAGACTCCAGACTTCCCTGCTTCCAGCCAATCACCCAAACACCACCACACACCTCACCATCATTGGTCCCAACCCAGGCTCACCCTAGAGTATATGCTGACTTACGTCCTTTGATTTCAAACCCCTGAAACCCTTATCTTCATCAGTACATGTCCTTCTATGTACACTGCCCTCAGAATACTGTTCAACACTAGAGTCGACTTAAAAGATACTCTAATAAACTAATAAACTAATTCTGCACCAAAAAGTTAATAATTACAATGTTATGCTTTTGTTGGGTACCAGTGGGGCTTGAGAAAACAGTGCCTAAAAGAATAATGCACATTGTGGACAAGAGTGTGATATACAGATTTTCCAAGTCCTATCTTCATACATGTGAATGTCATAGGTTTACAGACTAACTCCAGACAAAGCAAGCCACTCTTCCTCTTTCAGAAGGGCCAACTCAGGATGAATGGCCTCTTGCCTGGGGGAGGAAGAAGGGAAATAATAATCATGATAGTTAAATGATATGAATAATAGGAGCCAACATTTATTGATTGCTTTGTATTGGGTATTTTATCAGTATTATCACAATTAAACCACAATTCCATGAAGTAGGTGTTATTGTTAGTCTCATTTCCAGATGAGGAAACTGAAACAGGGAGGCTATGTAATCCCACCATGCTAGTGCTAAGCAGGGCTGGGACTCAACAGCCATTCTTTCAAATAGCAGAACGCTTTTTTTTTTTTTTTTCCTTTGTCAAGGTCTCACTCTATCTCCTAGGCTGTAGTGCAGTGGTACAATCTCATCTCACTGCAACCTTGACCTCCCAGTCTCAAGTGATCCTCCCACCTCAGCCTCCACACATCACACATCTAGCTAATTTTGTTTTATTTTTCGCAGAGAGAAAGTCACACTATGTTGCCCAGGCTGGTCTTAAACTCTTGGACTCAAGTTATCCTCCTGTCTCAGCCTCACAAAATGCTGAGATTATAGGCGTGAGTCATGACACCTGATCCAGAATGCTCATTCTTAACCAGTGTACTGATCCCCACCAGTTATTGCTTATCGTGCACCTACTGTGTGCCTGGCACTGTATGAACCTTAAACATATTAATTTCATTGAAACCTCATGGCAACCCTTGGAGATAGGTGTTATCATTGTCCCCATCTGACAGATGAGGCCCAAGAAAAAAAGGAAACTGAGTTAGTGTAGAGCTGGAACCGACGACAGGCATTCTGGCTGAGAGCTCTCTGAGAAATAAATATTCCGCACGACTGATTGCTATTCAAGTTTAGGTCTTTCTCTTTCTACTTCATTTAGGTTAAAAGGCTTTCCTCTCCAGGAGCCTGGCAAGCCAAGCCGCCTTCCGCGGGGCAACAGCGCGAGGCATTACCCCTACAGACCACTTGAGGGCACCATCCGTCCTGAGTTGGAGAGAACGATGGGAAGCAGGGCTCCTTCACAAGGCTGCGGGGCTCCTCTCCGGGCCCGCCCCCCCCCCCCCCATCCAGCAACAGCCAATCAGAAACTCACTGACAGCGCTGGGCTCTCCACGGTAATGGCCGTGGATGATGATTGGCTAAGTGTCTTAAGGGCCATCTGGTTTCTGGGGAGGTAGTGACATGCGCAGGACGGGAGGTCTCTGTAGCGAGAGGGGGCTCTAGACATCATCTTTACCTGAATAAGCCCCAACGCTGGGAGTGTCAGCCCGACCCTTCCACGGTGGAAAAGGCAGCAGCCAATTGCTATAGTCCCTTTAGGCTTTTCTCTCCCACCAGTCCTCACTCTGCCCTCTAAGGGGGTTCCTGGCCGCTTCAGCTCAGTTTGCTGCTTACCAATCCCGCGGCCCAAGGGGAGCGGGGCTCTGTGTGGCCGGAGCTGGGGGCCCACACGGAGCCCCTTGCCGGATGCCCCCGGGTTATGCGGAAGGGCCAGCCTAGGACAGCAGCCACTGCATTTCTTTGGCTTGCGCTGCGGTCCCGATGGAGCTCGGTTCTGACCCAGAACGTGAGATCAGGTTCTCATTCAGCCCAGGGCCTTGCACATGTGGCCCCACTGCTCGAACCTCTGCCTTTCAGGATCTCACACAAAGTTTTTCGCTTTCCCCTGCAGGGATGGTCCTCTCTAAGGGCCTTTGGAACTTTGTAAATAGCCGCATTGCAGCACTGCGCCATTGTTTTATTTATTTCACTCATATTGGACTCAGGGTAGGGACCATGTCTCCAACGTCTTTGCTTTGAGTAAGATATTTAAACTCTCTGTGCAGCGTTTTTCTCAATTGTAAAATGAGCATAGTAGTACCTCTTGTATAAAGTTGTGTATACCTCTTGCATAAAATTGTGTGCACTAATACATGTAAAGCGCTTGGAAGAGAGTCTTGCACACAGCAGATGATCAGAAAATGTTGGCCACTTGTTATTCCTACAGTGCCTAGCACAAATACATCATAAATACTCAACGGTGTTTAGAATCAGTTTCATATATTTGTTCTTGGAGGTTTAAATCTCAACTTTATCGAAACTGCTACAAGAAGCAAACAGTAAATATATATACATGGCTGTAAATGTGTCCAAGTGCTTCAACATGCCGTGGCAGTTGAGAACAGAAGGGAGCCTGGGTTCAAGTTATGACTGCAGCTGAACAGCCGAATGACCAATAGAAAATTAACTAAAAGTTAACTCCTCAACTATGGAATGGAGAGGATCATAATAGTATCTACTTCATCGGGTTGTGGTGCTTGCATTCTTATCCCACTTTCATTTTGGGAGCTAGGACAAGAATGTAATGACACAGTATAGTATTTCTATCTTACATTTGTCTCCCACTTTAACTTTTGCCAATCACATTCATGTATTATCTCATTTAATACTCACAACAACCCTGTGAAGCTCAGAGCACTTCCTGGTTTGTTGGAATCCTACAGCATGTCCATGGTGAGCTGCAGCTCGGTTTCTTTGAGTGCAATTTCAATGTCAGTGCCATTGCTCTGCATCAGGACTGAGCCAGTGACCACCTGGGTCTCAGATAAGCAGAAAGATTTGGATCCCAGATTTTCAAGCCAGTTGTTCTGTGTTTTATTTCTGATTACAGCAGAAAGACGTAATTACATTATCTTTTAAAATGTGAACAAAACAAAGTACAAAGTCTGGTTGACCCTCACACACACTGCCCAGAGGCAGCCACTGTTATTCGTTGAGTGTGGCATCTTCCTCACCTCCTGGGTATGGTTTCATGTGTGTACATGTTGGGGGGAAAGTTAGGTTTTTTGTTGTTGTTGTTCTTTTGCATAAACATGATTGTATTTTTAAATTTATTCTACTACTTGTTTTCTTCAATTAACAGTACATCTCAAAGATCTTTTTATGTCTATATCCCTATTTCTTTTTAACTACTGCAGAGTCTTTTATACCTGAACCCATTTAACCATTCTCTTGTTGTTAATTCTAATGTTTAAAGCCAAGTTTTGTTGAGTCCCCCTCAAGTCCCAATTTTGTAGCTGCTTAGATTCTGAACAGTCTCTGGGCCTAAAGACTCAAGTCATCAGGACATGAAATCCTTGTGGTCAAGAGTTCCACCTGGCTCCATATTCTTCCCATACTACAAGCCCAAGGCCCTGGCAAGCTGTGAAACTGGAGTCCTTCCTCCCAAGAGGAAAGAGTGGGAAAGAAGATGTCCACATAGGGCCAAAATGGGCTGATGATGACTTTACTCCTCAGAACATTGCTCAGAGCTAAAGACATCTCTGGAACTTTAAAAGCCTCATAATTACCTCCAAGAATCTGCACGGCTGAGATCCCTTCTGAAGAGGTAAACCTGGTGAAACTCATTCTCTTCCTTGAGGTCCTAGTGACCTTCATGACTCAGTCCTTCCCCAGGCCCACCCCTCACCCCCAACACCCACAAGTGTCTCCCCAGGGCTGAAACCTCTACTTCAGAACACAGACTTGGAATTGAATTGCAGGGGAATGGTGGGCACATCCTGTGGGTACTTGTGAAACACATGGACCTCAGATCCTCAGATAACCCCAAAAGAAATGATGCAGGCTGGCCAGGGACTGGTCTAGGGACAGTGTCACTTCAGGCAAAATGAGAGGTAGAAAATCAGGGCAGAAATCAGCATATTACAGGCACAAATCCACAAGGGAATGTGCTGACTTCATGACCCTTCACTCCATGCCCTTTCTACCCAGCTCCAAAAGGAATTCACTCGGCTTTTCTCCAGCTACAACTAAAGATTCTCTGGAAGGAGAAATAGGTAAAGGTCTCATCACATGAATTCCAGACACATCTCTGGTGCACCCAGCATTTTGTACATTAGCCAAAAAGCACATATTCCCAGTTGAATACAATCACACACATAGAACACAGATGCAGTCATGTTTACAATCAGGACACCAAACTGAATGTTGAAGATGTTCTGTATTCTAATACTCAACAGATTAATGCACTAGAGCCATACCAGACAAACAAACAACTTACAAAAATGGAACTCAAACTGGCAAATACATTTGAATAAAATGCAATCTCACTAGTCATAAAAAAACATACAAAACTTAAAACCAGGATTCTATTTTTCACCTATAAAATTGTCATGCTACAAATTATAATATGCATTTCTTTTTTTTTTTAAGAGGAAGTTTGAATATGGAGTATGAATATGGCTTATGACATGCTTATGAATGACAAAAATGTGCTCTGTTCTCTGTTGCTGTTGGTAGAATAAATTAGTTAAAGCCTTTTGAAAAACTAATTTGGCAACACATATCCAAATCTCCTTAACCCAGCAATTTAATTTCTGAAAATCTAGTTAAATGAATAATTTCAAAGATTTTTGCATCAAGAAAGTCTGGAAGCAAATATCCAACTACAATATTCAAAAATAGGAAAATGGTTAAATGAATATTGACACTGTAAACATGTGTAATAACATGGAAAATGAGTATGATGTGGCATTGAATAAAGAAAATAAGATTCAAAAGAATCAGTTCGATATTATCACAACTACATGGAAACCTGTATTGCATACACACACACACAAACCCACACACAAATGATTTCATTTACTCCTCTCAACAATCAGTGAGGAAACTGAGACACAGGAGGGTTCAGGAACTGGCAGCTGGTCACGTAGCAAGTGGTAGAGCTAAATTGTATGCCCATGTTCTTCCCAAAATATCACAAAAGCAACCACTAACTGTGAACAATGCTTGTTGAACTTGGAATCTGAAAGCTCCTATTTACATATTTTAAGTCCATGATTAGATTTTATAACTCAAGTAATCCTATTCTGTGAGATCTCAAAGAGTACTTTTATCTCATCCAACTAGGCCTGCTCCAGGAAGAAGCCTCCAGAAGTCAAGTCAGCCTTCAGAAGCAGACAGAAGAATCTGGTGTGTTGCTGACCGAACTCCCAGGGAATCCACCCATCTTTGGGCAGAAGGCCCTTGCAAAATGACTCTAGGCCAATTTCAGTGATTTACACACAACCTGTGATGGTTAACACTAAGTGTCAACTTGACTGGATTGAAGGATGCAAAGTACTGATCCTGGGTGTGTCTGTGAGGGTGCTGCCAAAGGAGATGAACATTTGAGTCAGTGGGCTGGGGAAGGCAGACCCACCCTTAATCTCGTGGGTACAATCTAACTAGCTGCCAATGAATATAAAGCAGGCAGAAAAACATGAAGAGGAGAGACTGGCCCAGCCTCCCAGCCTACATCTTTCTCTCATGCTGGAGGATTCCTGCCCTCAAACATTGGACTCCCAGTTCTTCAGTTTTGAGACTCGGACTGGCTCTCCTTGCTCCTCAAGCTTGCAGACACCCTATTGTGGGACCTTATGATCATGTAACTTAATACTCTATATATATATATACACACACACATATATATACATATATACACACATATATATACACACATACATACATACACACACATATATATACACATATATACACACATACTGTTGAGCAGTCTTTCTTCCTTGGTAATAACAGAACCCTGACTTTTAGAGAGGAACATTGCCTTTCGGAATAAGACTACACTTCCCAACTTCTTCCTAGCTAGTTTACTGGCCAATGAGATGCAAGAAAAAACTGGGAAGCACAGTAAAGGGAGGCCTGGCCCCCTTTTCCCTTTGCCCCTTCCCGCCTATTTTCTGGGAATGAGAAGACCTTCACCAAAGATGGCAGTCACAAACTAGGATGTTAGCGCAGAAATGTAAAAGGACGCTGAGTCTTGACATACAGAGACCTTGAACTGCCTACATGTGGACTTCTTTGATGTGAGAAAATCAAACTCTTATGTGTATAAGTCACTGTCATTTTAGGCTGTTATATACAGCCTGGTCTAATTCCTAAATGGCTAGCCTCTCTTTCCCAAGGTTTAAAAGTATCTTAACTTACATAGAAATACACATTTATAAATTAGAACATTCTTATGACTGGGCCAGGTTCACCAGCACAAAGTTAACCTTGGACTCATGAAACATTTTGGACCAAAACATATACTTTATCTAAACCACACATTGGCATAGCCTTGGCATTCTATTTTCATGCTGAAAGAAAACAATATTCTGCCAAAGAAGATCTTTTTCTTTTTTTTTCTGTCACCCAGGCTGGAGTGCAGTGAGGTGATCTCAGCTCACTGTAACCTCTGCCTCTCAGGATCAAGCGATTCTACCACCTCGGCCTGCCAAGTAGTTGGGACTACAGGCACGTGCCACCAAACCCAGCTAATTTTTGTACTTTTAGTAGAGACAAGGCTTCACCATGTTGGCCAGGCTGGTCTTGAACTTCTAAGCTCAAGCAATCTGCCCGCCTCAGCCTCCCAAACTGCTGGAATTACAGGCGTGAGTCACCGCACCCAGCACCAAAGAAGGTCCTTAACACATAGGCAAACACCTGGACGTTTTTGTTGGTGGTCATTGTTCAATCCAAGTGCCAAACTGAACTCTAAGTAACAACTTCTTTTGAACCTAATCAGATATGTTAGAGGTCTCCGAAAAGTGGTCAAACGTTCACAAGCTGAATTCTGGTTGAAAGCTTTCTACACTTCAAATCTGTTTCTCCTTGGGAGGAACTCCAGCTGGCCCCTCTTTTAGCAAGTTCTCATTCTTCTTTAAGACCTTTAGAGAAATGTCCTTCAGTGTGGTTAGAGGTAGCTGGATCCTAGTGGTGGCCTCTGCATAGCCACACTGAGAGTCAACCTGCCAGGACCTCTCTCTGTTCCCCTGCCACAGGGCTGCCTTCCAGCCCCTCAGGCAGTCCTCCTCCTCACTGGGCCAGCTCCATGTCCCTTATGGTGTGGGGAATTGGTGAGGGGGTGGACTTAAACAACTTATTTTTATAATGACTAAATGTTAAAATATGTTATTCCATAAGAAAAGAAAAATGTTAAGGAGTACCTTCTTTGGGAAATGTTTGTTAATAACTAACATTTATTGAATACTTACTATGTTCTGGGCACTGTACTAAATGCCTTTTTAAATACTGTCACCACGTTTGAGATCCAAAACAGGGTTGGAGAGGTGAAGTAGCTCTACCTGATGTGACTGCAGGGATTTAATTCCAGGTCTACCCAATTCCAAAGCCTGATCCTGTTTTGTTTTGTTTGAGACAGGGTCTCACTCTGTCACCTAGGCTGGAGTGCAGTGGCACGATCATGGCTCACTGTAGCATCAAAGTTCTGGGCTGAAGGGATCCTCCGACCTCAGCCTTCCAAGTAGCTGGGACTACAGTGATGAGCCACCACACCCAGCTAATTTTTGTATTTTTTGTAGAGATGGTGTTTCTCCATGTTGCCCAGGCTGATCTTGAACTCCTGAGCTCAAGCGATCCACCTGCCTCGGCCTCCCGAAGTGCTGAGATTACAGGCATGAGCCACTGTACCCACCTGAGCCACCGTACCCGGCACCTGATCCTTTAATGCTTAGGGAACACTGCAGTTTGAAAATGCTGCCAATGTTCTAATGCCACTAGAACACACGTTCTCAACAAGGGT